ATCGGAACTGAAAAAACGTGGATCGCCCATCTCTATTATTTACACAGAAAGGAAGGTTAGATAACTGTTTGATAAATAAAAGTAGCCTACTTTACTTTACTATTAGTGTTTGTATTTTGTGTAAAATATTACATTTGGCCCGCGGTCCTCCGATAGATTTTCATTTTGGCCCACTAAGGGAAAATGTTTGGGCACCCCTGCTCTAGAGGGAGTCATACCTGGGAGAAGAGTGTAATTTGGGGATGTCAGTTCCGCACATAATAATAAATTAGCAATATTAGGTGGTTAACTGCTGTCTGTGACCAACACTACTTAGAAATGTGGTAAGTGCCGGTTAGCAGGGCTATATCTGAGGTGGACACGCGCTTCAGACGTAAGAGTGTCGTCACTTCTCCATGAAACGGCTAAACATTTCTTAAATTCACACGTATCCCAGTCTATTACATTAATTAAAATTCACAACCTAATTTTTACTTTTCCCAAAAGTTGAAAAATATTAAATAAATGCACACAGTCGGAACGCCGTGACTGCGTTCCAGGGTCCAGATAAGAAATGAGTTCCTGCGTAGATTACAATAATCTACACAGATATGTTGCCGTCAATTTGTTCTACATTAAGACGTAAAGATGATGATCTGTTGATTTCTAGAATATAAAACAACAGATATTATTGTACCACGGGCTGATACTGATGTTAATGGAAAGCGATGTGTCGTAAGAAACGCGCCTGGTATAAATGCAGCTGTTGCACAAGACTATATACGATCGTGTGGGCGTGAATCAAGCAGCCAGCCCGCCCACTGTCGCAATTTTCACTTTAAACGATGAAATGATGACATGCCAATATCCAAGGAGAAGAATGCAATACACGGGCCTATTATATATGTGACATGTGCCGATGACTGAAATGCATAGACTCTAAACATGTTTGGAAAAATCTTTTATCTGCTATTTGGGGTTGTGGCGCGCCACGTGGAAAATGAGGTTTGTACCTTTGATTTTATAAGAAAGCCAAACTTCGTAGTTTTATTTAGGCGAGTTTTTATTCCTTTGTCGTGTATCAGACTAAATGGCTTGTTCTAAAAACGCGTTCGTCCTGTTTCATGTCGCCCAGTCGATAACATTTCGGGGGTGGGTATTGCGACATAATTATCGTGGAAAAGTGCCACTATAAGGTTTGTTATATAAGTTAGCTGATAACTTATTTGGTATACCCTTGAAGTGAACTGCAGATCATACTGTCAGCTTGCCTGTTTGAACTGGGCCACCATATGTGTCATAGATACCGTCATAAAGTATGTGTATTCCATCAAAACCATTCTTTATATGTTACAGTATTTGTTTCAGATTTGCATGTGTGCTGCATTCCCCTTATGTCCATACTTTAAGTGCATCGTCAGTGCAGGTTTCAAAGGTTTTTATGGTCCGAGTTGTCAAGCTTTCCCCTCCAGGGAGGTCGCACTGCGTGCAGTTACCCTCATACTGGGAAAGAATCTGCCGTGGACTCGCAGCGCGAGCAAATGTTCAAAAACTTCCTCGTGCCTTCGGGACGCCGCGCGTGGCTTCTTGGAAATCAAAAGCTTAGTGTGAAATTTTAAATAATAATCGAATGTTCGTCGATGCTTACATATACAGTTTCGTTACACTGAAGGCGCCTTCACTTTGTCCATGTTGAAGTACGAGATCTATTTCTATTTGATAAGTAACTGCATGGAGTATGGTTTGCACCATCAAATTCTGCTACACTACAAATTTCTAAACAGGGGCTAAAATTAATTCGTTTAATAATACCGTTGCTGCAATATGCGTACAAATTATGGGTTTTAATTAAAATCATGGCAACGGAGAATTAATCCGTTCCTGAAATGTCTCTAGTACTGTTAATCTTCGTCAAATTCATTACGAACATGTATACGAGCTACAAAGTATACTATTAAGCGTGGAGTCAGAAATTTGTTTTTGTTTTTTGTTATTTTGGCTTCCATAAAAGGCAACGCAATAATCAGGCTAGAATTGCTTAAAGGAAATACCAAGCTATTTCTTCCAGCGCGCGCCGGAGAAAAGCTCAGTTCCTTAAATTATTTGTAGTAGCACTGCAGTCACGTGATTTTTTTTTTCGTGTTGTCACTGGCAGTCTGATGTGTATTTAACTTAGCAGCTGTCGTTTTTGGACAGTACTTCGATGTATTGTATATTACAGTGCACTTAGAACAAAACAGAATTCACCTGTAAAAGAAATAATTTGCATACTGTGACCCTAACATTCGTGAATGTTGTGCAGAAAGTGAAACTAAAAAGAAAAGTATAGATGTATGTCCATTGTTTTCTTATAGCTTACAAATTCAAAAAGAATATTACAGGCTAGAGTATCAGCTGTGACAGATCCGTGGCAGATCTGATCTTGATGCCTGCATCCGTTATCGCTGACATTTAAAAATAAATATTTGCACCTGCACAAAAAAGGCAGTCGTTTTCAGACTTTAAAGTATCCATTTGTGTTAACAGATAAGCTGCATAAAGTCTGCACCACTCCAGATTTTTACAACCAGTGCCTGGGGCTCACATGACTTACTGGTGTGTCCAGGGGTGGGTAGTTCAGGTCCAGAAAGTAAAAACCCAGACCAAGATTTTGTTTCAACCAACCAGTTGAGTACTCTGTGACTGTGTCTCTTTATACTCATCTGGTTGGTTGAAACAAAATCTTGGTCTGGATTTTTACTTTCTGGACCAGAACTACCCACCTCTGCTCGGGGCACTTTCCAGTCTTTGGTTGAATAACAGTGTGATCACCTATCCTTGCAGGTGTCTGCCCTGCCTGTGTCATCAAATTCCAGCAAGAATTGTACCAAAGCCAACCAATACCTGGACATGGACTTGAACCTCTGCTGTGAAATGTGTGCACCAGGTATGAATGGACCTCATTCCTTGGAATCCACCCCAGAGTTTATGTTCATAAGTTTGCCTATAAAACTTCGGCATTTTCCATGGGTATACGACGTTATGATGTGGACACTGCTGTTAACTTTATTACGCTGTGCCAATGATCCCGAATGATTCCACGATCAAGCAATGCGGAAGGCATCCATAACCTAGGAACAGTTTTGTCAGACTAATGCCTTAATTTTAGCCACTGTAAGGAAAATTTTAGTACTGATACTAGGGCTGCATTTATACACCACAGCGGTGAACATGGCTGGACTGGGACTAAAAATTGGCTCTAGACTTTGGTCACCCCTGGGGTAAGTTTTGCTGACCAGTCAGTAGTAGAATGATCTTTGCACATGAATGGTCTGGTTGAATATTATACTGTATGTATAGGGCTGGCAACGTGATGATGTAATCAATGATACTCGTATCAGACCGGTGTGATCGGTAATCAGTGATATCAGATAAGTAACCTGTCTTGATATCTGACAGTGTCTCACTGGCGATTTTTACCAGGGAAGTAAGCTTAGGCTGTACACATGGCAAGATTACAGAAGGATTTATGATTTGGGTTTCAGTTCAGCCATATACCTATGTTTACGTCACAGTAAGAAAAAAAACATGGAAATGAAATGTATCACATCACCAACTTCTATCTTCCAATCAGCAGGTGAAATGTTAGCCATTCAAGTGCAGTTTTTTTTGTGGGGGACTGACGTTATGATCTATCTCATTCGCAAATTATGTTTGCATCAAAAAAATAGAAACGCCTATATTTAGGTAGAGTTGTGACTTCTGATCTAAAATGACTGTTTCTGTGATAATATCCATCCATTACTGTGAGTGCTTAATCCCAACTGGGGTCACTGGAGCCTATTCTGGAAACAAGGGGCACAGGTGGGAACCAACTGTGGGCCAACACACACACCAACCAGCATGCTTTTGGACCATGGGAGAAAACCAGTGCCCCCAGCATAAACCCACACAAACACTGGGAAAGCGTGCAAACGCCACACAGAAAGGATCGAGGACTGAACCCAGGACTTTCTTGCTGTGAGGCAGCAGTGCTAGCCACTGTGCTAACCACTGTGCTAACCACTGTGCCACGGTCTATCTGTCTTAGGCAACAATAGAGGCAACAAAGATCTGAGTGGAAAATCAAATAAGGAGAATTTAAAAAAAGGAAGTGCAGAGTTATACAGTACTGTGCAAAAGTCTTAGGCAGTCCAAAGAAATGTTTAAAGCTGTTTATCTGGGTTGCAAGTGTACTTTGGCTTAGAACAAAACACACAATTTAACATTAGAACATGTGCAAATTAAGAGTAACACAATAAAAACTAGTAATAATTTCTTCTGTTTTCTAAAAAGTTACTGATATCTAGTTGGATGGCTAGATGAACACCGCTTCAGTTCCCAAACCTCTCCTCAGAGGCACCTCAACCGTTCCATGACTTTGTTAAATTTCTCCAACAGCTCAATTAAATAATTAAATAAATTGGTTTGAAAAGTCAGTGACAGATTGACTAGCTGTATGAGGTGTGCTAGTGGCCAAGTCAAAAAATACATGGCTGCACTGGACGGTCACTGCAAATACTGGGGTGATTTTAGCAGATGTTCTGAAATGGCTAAGCTGACACACTTTGACAGGAATAATATCATAGTTTTACAGCAACACGAGGATAATTCAAACATCATTTTCTTTGCCTGCCTAAGACTTTTGCACAGTACTGTATGTGCGAGTGATTTTGTGAAATAGTTACCATGACAAGTCAGGTTATGGGTATGTCATAGTATCAGTGTTCTTAATTGTTTATATTTGGGAAGTTACAGTGACATGCAGAATTTTATTTTGAATTATAATAATATTATAATTATTATTATAATATAATAATAATTAGCCTCAGTATACCGGCTTCTGTTAGGGCTGCTGAATGTGTTATGTTTTATTACTTATTTATTTTGGGCAGTAGGCAAACATTATTAGCTTTTAAACTGTTAGTGTTCGGGAAGTTGCAGTGACATTCAGAATTTTAGTTTGAAGGGATTAGGATGTCTGCCTTTGTTCAGGCTGGAGTGAAAATACCTGTTGCTATTTTTATTTTACCAAAAAAGAAAAACTTTTACTTAAGATATTTAATGTTTATTTAAACATTTAAATCTTTATATATTTATTCATAACCAGCCTAATTTAGTGTCATATCTTACCAGATCATCGTGCTTACATATATCATACTGAGAAATATTGGTCATGTGCGACCGGGTTCCAGTCTCTAAATCGGAGAAACTAATTCATTTGGGTGGGTAGTGGGCAGGAGGAGGAAAGTTCACATCCCGAAACTACAAATTCAGATCAACAATTTCTTTCAGCTAACCAGTTGAGTATAAAGAGTCAGTCACAACATACTCAATTGTTTGCTTGAAACAAAACGTTGGTCTGGATTTGTACTTTCTGGACCTGAACGATCCACCTCTGCCGGTGGGTGGATGATTGATGTGTGCGTGCGGATTCAGATGACGTCAAAGCCGCCTCACGCATCGCCGCTGCTCAGCGGTGGCTCAGTGGGTTGTGTGATCATGAGGGTTAGAGTCTGCGTTCTATGCATGCGCATGTTCTTCTTGCGTTCCTGTAGATTTCCTCTGGATGCCCCAGCTTCCTTCTGAGCCCAAATCATGTGGTTCAATGAAGTAGCACCTCTAAATTGTCCTCAGTGTGTAACTGTTGTGAGTGTGTATCCTATGATGGGCTGGCATCTCATCCAGTGAGTCCCCAGCCTCACATCCTCTACTTCTGAGAGAGGCTCCAGTCTAACCATTATCCTGTACTGGATAAGCGGTTCTGGAAAACTTCAGGGCCCCAGTAAAATTTGAAGTCTGCCGCGCTCGGTGCACATTTTCAAAGGAACAAAATCTGTACCACAGAAAAGCCACGTTCATGATGAGAAAGCAGCTTTCCTCAATAGAATGAAATGGCAGGTGTGGTGGCATCGCTGTGCTTGCGTTTGGGTTCCTCGTGTCTCGCTGAGGCCCGGGCCCCTTCTGCACCACAACGACTGAGCTTTCTGCAAAGTGGCTGTACCCTGACGGGAAGTGAGCGATGCACCGTGCTGCCATTGATGTCACAGTCGGTAACATGCATCCGGTGAACGTCACTGTCGCTTGTCACCTTTGCACTCTGAGCTGTTCACAGGAAGCTTTTAACCGTGAACCACAGTGTGACCGCTGCCTCTTCTGTGAATTTCTGAATGCGTCGGCACAATCGCGTTTGGGTTCCTCAGGCTCTCCCTTGCATTCTAAACTGCACTATGAGGCCAACTTCTAAAAAAAAACATGGGCCAAAACTTTATTGGACCTGTCTGATTTCAGAACTTGCTGTGGAATCGAATGCATCAAAGGGTCTTCACCATCAGCTGTGTAGAACTCTGTGTTGCCATTATTACAGGGACGCGCCTAAAGATGAGGTGTAGCCATGAGTCGGACACAGTCTGCGAAGCCTGCCAGCCGGGCTTCTACAGTGAGAAGATGAATTACTACCCTAACTGCTTCAGGTGTCCACAGTGCCGAGAAGGTGGGTGTTCTGAGGTGATACTGAGGTGGTGAGAAATTGTTGACCCCTTAGAGCAGTGTTTCCTAACCTGGACCTTGGAGACTCACAGATGGTCCACATTTTTGCTCCCTCCTAGGTTCCTGCCAGACAGTTGACATTTTTGCTCCCTCCTAGCTCCCTGCCGGACAGTTCACATTTTTGCAAAAACGTGGACTGCCTGTGGGTCCCTAAGGACTGGATTGGGAAACACTGCATCAGAGTGCTTTGACTCACTATGCGATATGTGCCCATGCAGATCGAGGCCTGCAGTACGCCCAAGAGTGCACTGCGTCCTCCCCAGCCGTGTGCATGTGCAAGGAAGGCATGTTCTGCACATTCAGAGGCCACGATCACCAGTGCAAAGAGTGCAGGCAGTACACACTCTGTGCACCAGGACATGGGATCTCTCTGGCAGGTAATTTGGATGGCCAATGACTAAGACGCCGTTGTCAGCCAGACAGGGTTTGAGCAAATTACTCACTGACCAGATTCACGTCAGAAAATGTGCACCCAGACCGACACGTATGTTTGTGGTGAGAATGAGTCATTTGACAGCTGAAAGTATCTTTGCATGCAGAAGTGTCTGTCAGATGTAGCATTTGAATGTCTGGGTGTGGTGGAGGTAACTGGAAAGTACAGAGCATATTTTTGGCTGGTGTCACTGGGAGCGTGCCGGTGATGCTTATCTCAGACTTTGTGCGACAGGAACCTCTGACTCAGATGTCCGGTGTATGAGCTGTCCTATGGGAACGTTCTCCGACACAACATCCTACACTCAAAGATGTCAGCTGCATACAGAGTGAGTGCTGTCACCGGCTTCTATAAACTTTATGGCAGGGGTGGTCTGACAGTGGCTGTCTTAGTGATGTCATTATTTGGGCTACATCTGGCAACACCAAAATGTACAGGAAACACAGCCCCGGAGAACCAAGGCGAGCCTGATTTAGTCTGAAGTATAATGCTGACAAACATCCACAGCTGAATTTCAATATGCATCATCATCTGGGAAATCGACCTGCCTATATGTGATCTTTTCTTCGCATACTAAGGAGGCCTTTTTGATTAGTGATTGCATTTCCTCTCTGTAAGTTCTGCCACCTCCCCCAGGGCTCCGAAATCAATGGTGCTCCCAGGTTCGGAATCTGCAACCAGTCATCTTATAAGCATAATGCTGTAATCGCTACGCCGTCTGGCTCCGTCATACTCGCCTGGACCGGTAGTTCTAACATGCCTCTTTCACCTTAACCCTTCCCCCTTAGCTGCAGCTCTCAGGGGAGGGATGTTCTGCAGCTCGGCAATGACGAGTCGGACACCAAATGCGGACCCAGTGTGAGCCCCCCCCCGGCACATGACCCCAGCACCGCTTATACCTCCACTGCCGTCACACTCACATCATCTGTTACCCACTACGCCGGATCAAGTCTCACTAATGCCAGTGAAACAGTATCCGGGTCGCACATCACAAACTCCCAGAGCATCCCATGGGTTATAGGTAAGGAATTGTAAAAATAATTATCCATTGTCAAAGTTTTATTGTCATATGTACATAGTACAATTAATTTCTTACTTGTGTGCTTGATTTTGCCTAATGCCAACAAGGATATTCAGGATCGCAATAAATAAGCAATAAAGAAATATTAATGAATAATCCCATTGTTGACATATACAGTGAGGAACATAAGTATTTGAACACCCTGCGATTTTGCAAGTTCTCCCACTTAGAAATCATGTAGGGGTCTGAAATCCACATTGTAGCTGCATTCCCACTGTAAGAGACAGCATTTAAAAAAAATTCAGGAAATCACATTGTATGATTTTTAAAAAAATTATTTGTATTGCACTGCTGCACATAAGTATTTGAACACCTGGCAATCAGCAAGAATTCTGGCTCTCAAAGACCTGTTACTCTGCCTTTAAAAAGTCCACCTCTACTCCACTTATTAATCTAAATAGTAGCACCTGTCTGAGCTTTTTAAAGACACCTGTCCACCCCACAGTCAGTCAGACTCCAACTACTACCATGGGCAAGACCAAAGAGCTGTCAAAAGACACCAGAGACAAAATTGTTGACCTCACAAGGCTGGAAAGGGCTACGGGGCAATTGCCAAGCAGCTTGGTGTAAATAGATCAACTGTTGGAGCAATTGTTAGAAAATGGAAGAGGCTAAAGACGACTGGGACTGGGGCTCCATGCAAGATCTCACCTCGTGGGTTATCACTGATGATAAGAAAGGTGAGGAATCAGCCCAGAACTACACGGGGTGGTCAATGACATGAAGAGAGCTGGGATCACAATTTCAAAGGTCACTGTCGGTAGAACAGTACGCCGTCATAGTTTCAAATCATGCATTGCACGGAAGGTTCCCCTGTTCAAGTCATCACATGTCCAGGCCCGTCTGAAGTTTGCCAATGACCATCTGGATGATCCAGAGGAGGCATGGGAGAAAGTCACGTGGTCAGATGAGACCAAAATAGAACTCTTTGGTCTAAACTTCACTCGCTGTTTTTGGAGGAAAAAGAAGGAGGAGAACCCCCAAGAACCCCCATCCCAAGAACACCATCCCTACTGTGAAGCATGGGGGTGGAAACATCATGCTTTGGGGGTGCTTTTCTGCGAAGGGGACAGGACGACTGCACTGTATTAAGGAGAGGATGAATGGGGCCATGTATTGTGAGATTTTGAGCAACAACCTCCTTCCGTCAGTCAGAGCATTGAAGATGGGTCGTGGCTGGGTCTTCCAACATGACAATGACCTGAAGCACACAGCCAGGATAACCAAGGAGTGGCTCCGTAAGAAGCATATCAAGGTTCTGGAGTGGCCTAGTCAGTCTCCAGACCTAAATCCAATAGAAAATCTTTGGAGGGAGCTGAAACTCCATGTTGCTCAGTGACAGCCCCGAAACCTGACAGATCTAGAGGAGATCTGTGTGGAGGAGTGGGCCAAAATCCCTATTGCAGTGTGTGCAAATCTGGTCAAGAACTACAGGAAACGTTTGACCTCTGTAATTGCAAACAAAGGCTTCTGTACCAAATATTATCACTGATTTTCTCAGGTGTTCAAATACTTATGTGCAGCAGTGCAATACAAATAAATTCTTTAAAAAACATACAATGTGATTTCCTGAATTTTTTTTTTTAAATACTGTCTCTCACAGTGGGAATGCACCTACAATGTGGATTTCAGACCCCTCCATGATTTCTAAGTGGGAGAACTTGGAAAATCGCAGGGTGTTCAAATACTTATGTTCCTCACTGTACATATACAAATGTCATGCTGTGTATATATATACTCATTGGCCACTTCATTAGGTACACTTATTAGGTTCACTTCAACCGCTCATTGAAGCAAATATCTAATCAGCCAATCATATGTCAGCAGCACAGTGTATAAAATCATGCAGATATAGGTGGGGAGCTTCAGTTAATGTTCAGATCCAATACCAGAATGGTGAAGAAAGTTGATATAAGTGACTTTGAACAAGGCATAGTTATTGGTGCCAGATGAGCTGGAAGAAGTATTTCAGAAACCGCTGATGTACTGGGATTCACACACACCCATGTCTAGGGTTCACTGGGAATAGGCTGAAAAAGAAAAAGCATCCAGTGATGTCACAGTCCGGCTGTTCTCTGAACAAAAATGCCTTATTTATGGCCAAACAATGGTCAAAGAAGAATGGGCAGACTGGTTCAAGCTGAAAGAAAAGCAACAGTAAGTCAAATGCAGAAGAGCATCTCTGAAGACACAACACGTTGAACCTTGAAGCAGATGGGCTCCAGCAGCAGAAGCCCACACTGGGTGCCAGTCCTGTCAGCTAAGAACTGGAAACTGAGGCTACAGTGAACATGGGCTCACCATCACTGGACAATGGAAGGATGGAAAAACGTTGCATAGTCAGATGAGTCTTGATTTCTGCTGCAGCATTCAGATGGTAGGGTCAGAATTTGGCAGAAACGGCATGAAAGCATGGATCCATTGTATCAGCAATTCAGGCTTATGGTGGTGGTGTAATGGTGTGGGGGGGTATTTTTCTGGCACATCTTGGGCCACTTAGTACCAGTTGAGTATCGTTTAAATGCTATAGCCTACCTGATAATCATTGCTCACCATGTCCATCCCTTCATGACCACGTTACCCAGCTTCTAAAGCTCATGTCATGTCAGACTTGTTTCTTGAACATGACAATGAGTTCATTGTACTCAAATGGTCTCCACAGTCATCAGATTTCAGTAGTGGGCAGTATGCCTCGATGGGATGTAGTGGAACAGGAGATTTACATCATGAAGGATAAATCTGCAGCAACTGCATGATGCTACACTACAGTATATGGACAAAAGTATTGGGACACCAAGCCATTACACCCACAGGAACTTTTATGGCATCCCATTCTAAATCCATATGCATCAATATGGAGTTGCCCCCCCCCCTTTGCTGCTGTAACAGCTGCCACTCTTCTGGGAAGGCTTTCCGCAAGATTTTGGAGTGTGTCTGTGGGAATCTTTGCCCATTCATCCAGAAGAACATTTGTGAAGGTCAGGCACTGATGTTGGACATGAAGGCCTGGCTTGCAATCTCCATTCTAGTTTATCCTAGAGGTATTTTATGTGGTTAAGATTAGGGCTCTGTGCAGGCCAGTCAAGTTCCACACCAAACTCACCCAACCATGTCTTTATGGACCTTGTTTCGTCCACTGGGGCACAGTCATGCTGGAACAGAAACGGGCCTTCCCCAAACTGTTCCCACAAAGTTGGAAGCAGAGAATTGTCCAAAATGTCTTGGTATGCTGAAGCATTAAGAGTTCCCTTCACTGGAACTAAGGGCCCAAACCCAGCCCTTGAAAAATAACCCCATACCATTATCCCTCCTCCACCAAACTCTACTGGCACAATGCAGTCAGGCAGGTAACATTCTCCTGGCATCTGCCAAACCCAGACTCGTCCATCAGACTGCCATACAGAAAAGTGTGATTCATCACTCTACAGAACTCATTTCCACTGTTCCAGAGTCCAGTGGCAGTGTGCTTTACACTACTCCATCCAACTCTTGTCATTGCGCTTGAAGATGTGAAGCTTGCATGCAGCTGCTCGACCATGGAAGCCTATTCCATGAATGTCCCAGTATACAGTTTTTGTGCTGGGGTTAATGGCTGAGGAAGTTTGGAACCCTGCAGTTATTGAGTCAACAGAGCGTTGGCAACTTTTATGTGCTATGTGCCTCAGCACTCGGCAACCCCACTCACTTTATGTGGTCTGCCACTCTGTCGCTGGGTTTCTGTTGTTTCTAAACACTTCCACTTTGCAATAATACCACTTAGAGGTGACTGAGGAATATCTAGCAGGGAAGAAATTTCACAAAGTGACTTATTGCAAAGATGGCATCCTATGACAGTACCATGCTTGAATTCACTGAGCTCTTCAGAACGACCCATTCTTTCAGAAATATTTATAAACTTGACTGAAAGGTAAGGTGCTTGATTTTATACACCCGTGACAATGGGTCTGAATGAAACACTTGACTTTAATGATTAAGAGGTGTGTCGCAGTACTTTTGGCCATATAGTGTAGATGTATGTCCTGTGGTGTCCCCTTGTCCAGCGTGTTGCTGCCCCTCCCCTTTCAGCGGAGGTAATTAGACCTGCCATCAGAGTCGTCAGGCATCAGACAGCACGGCCTGTCGGCCCACATTGGGCGTCCATATAGTGTATCACGTCACCATGGACCAAAGTCTCTGAGGAATGTTTCAAGCACTTTCTTGAATCTATGCCACAAAGAATTATGGCAGTTCAGAAGGCAAAAGTCCAACCTGGTACTAGTAAGGTGTACCTAATTAAGTGGCCTGTGTGTGTGTGTGTGTGTGTGTGTGTGTGTGAATTAGGTTTACATTACATTGTGGAGATCAAATGTTATTTTACTTGTTATTTTGACTTTGTGGGGACCATTTTTCAGGTCCTCGCAAAAATCTGTGGCTGCAATAAAAAAGTAAAAACTTTCATATTTTGTTTGTTTACTTATGGTTAGGGCTGGGTAGGGGTTAAGGTCGTCATGTTGGGATTAGAGTTTTCCCCATAGAAATGAATGGAGAGTCCCCACAAAGATATAATTACAAATTTGTGTGTGTGTGTGTGTGTGTGTGTGTGTGTGTGTGTGTGGTGTGTGTGTGTGTGTGTTTTTCCCATATTTATAAAACCTTGCTTCAGCACAATGGCATTCCCCTAATTTGTGAAGTATAGCTGTCCCTTTTCCTTTTTCCTTTCCTTTGACAGTTCCTGTTTCCGTAGTAGGAGCAGTTACAGTACCTGCCATAGTTGCAGTGTTGATCTTCATCGCCTGGACGCTCAGCAAGAAGAGAGGTAATGTTCAGACACAGGGAGACCCTTGGTCTTCAGCTCTCGCCTGCAGCAGCAGTTCCATGATGCTAGGTCACATGGCATGATGTCTGTCTTTGATTGGTGCTTCTCTTGCTCTTTTTTCATATATCTTGCAGAGTATTCTTTCATGTAATTTTGTGTTTTTCTTTGGTTACAGCAGGCACAAGCAGCGATGGGATGGTGAGTTTCATGTATTTAGTATCATTAAAACATTTGCCTAGTGAATATTGGTTGATGCATTTAATGCAAACAGAAGACAAAGTGGACAGATTGAGCAGGTTTTGCTGGACTTGAGATTGAACATCTGACTTCCTCAGTTTTACTGCTCTGTTCCTCTTCTGATTCTGTCATGACTTCTTTCCCATCAGCCTCCTTTCTTAACCCTTCACAAAGGTTTGGGCCTACAGAAAGGTGGTCCAAGCAGCGTCCTCAAGTCCCACCTGCTGGGACATGCCCAGCCCCATTCCTCCAGTCTGCACTCCTCAGGAAAAGCCTTGCTGGGACCTCAGAGTAGCATCACGGGTGGAAAGTCTCTCACTTCCTCATCTTTGTCCCAGTTTCCGGATTCCTGTGGAGAAGGTCATGGTCTGGTGGAGTCATGCCAGTCAGCTGCTTCACCATAGACATGCAGTCACGGCAAATGTCATACATGCCAGTCCTAAAAAAGAGCAGAATGACCAGTCTGGACACATTAACAAGATTACTTCTTATGGGAAAACTGGAGTATTATATACTATAATACATTTTGAATATATGGATGGGTGCTCTGCATAATGCAAAGTCCATTTTACTATATTGTTGACTGTATACCTGTCTCTCTGAAGTGGATTTTTTTTTTTATGTGTGTGTGTTTGATAACCGTTTATCAAAACTTGCCTGAATTATCAGTTTCTTTTTGGAAAGTCAATCTGAAGTCTGAAATCAGCTTTGTTTGTAATCAGTATTTGACAGTAGTCACTAAATGATTTATGTTGCGAAAGATATGTATGTTTTATAAATATAGGGTAATGCTGGAGTGTACTGATACTGTCATGTTCGAATGTTTTTCGTTGCGTGTTAAATTGTTAAAGAGGAGTCATTGCTCCATCTAGTGGTGACCATAAAACATTTTTGGTTTCTTTTTTTGTCTGTTATTTTGCTAAGTCAATGTAGCTGTTAAAAAGACATAAAATAAGTTGTGTTACAAAGTTAATATTTTTTATTTTATACGTTACTTATTTTTTATAAAATAATATTTTAATAAATTAAAGTAAACTTTAAAATATTTCTCATTGAGATGGGGTGGGAATAACATTGTAATCTCTCATGTTTAGATCTGATATTTTGTATGTGTATTTGTAAGTTTTAAGTTGTGTATAGACAATTCTCTTGGTTTAAAAATCTGATGGGCAGATGATTGTAACAGATATTTATATAGGCCTGTATCATAACCATGTGGATTATCTTAGAGCTACATTTGTGCCTTAAAATATACATTGCATTTGTAGTCATTAAGTGATGACGCAAAAAAAAGCAAACAGCAAAATGTTACTTTCACTGGAATCTGTTCCTTTGTATTAAGCGGCGAGAACACCACTTCTGGTTTGTACAAACTGCACACCTCGCCCCATTTCGGCTTCCTGTGGTCGTTTTTGCGTGTGGCTTCCTGAACAGAGAGCTCATGCTGGTTAGAGATTAAGAACCCCAAAAAAAAAGTATTTTTTTCAAGTCTGTGGGAGTACATGAATTGAATTTTTGTGCAAGTATTGAACTCTTCAAGAGTGGGGAATTTTGATTATCAAGCCTGATGGCCTCTGCAGAAGGTCAGGATTTTTGCTGTGGTTTATTACACACCATATATGGGAAGCTTAGTTACCAGCAGCATGGAAACATGTTTTCTCATGCATCAATATGGAGTTGGCCTCCCCTTTGCTGCTGTAACAGCTGCCACTCTTCTGGCTCTCTTCTGCCACTCTTCTGGCTCTCTTCTGGCTCTCTTCTGCCACTCTTCTGCCACTCTTCTGGCACTCTTCTGCCACTCTTCTGGCTCTCTTCTGCCACTCTTCTGGCTCTCTTCTGGCTCTCTTCTGCCACTCTTCTGGCACTCTTCTGCCACTCTTCTGGCTCTCTTCTGCCACTCTTCTGGCTCTCTTCTGCCACTCTTCTTTTAATGATACTAAAATCCTTTACAAACCCATCGCTAATTATTGTTTCTCAAATCCATGGCTGTCACCATCTACTGGAACTGCAGTGCCTGTAACCACTTAATCCCAAGTGGGGTTGCAGGGGGACAAACAGCAGGAACCAACCCGGGACGGTCACCAACACACCACAGAGTACACTAACTCACAATTATGGGGCCAACTTAGAGTCACCAATTAATTTACCATGCACACTTTTGGACTGTGGGAGGAATGTGGAGTCCCCAGAGGCAACCCAGAGAGAGCATGTGAACTAGGTCCTACGCCCAACCTGCGTACCAAACCCAGCACTCTCCCATTGCAAGGCAGCGGGGCTAACCACTGCGCCACCGCACCGCCCCCATTGAATGCTTTCAACATGTTTAATGTTTTCAACATTTAGCAAAAACCCTATCCAAGCCATCATAGGTTTACTGAAGTATTGCCCACTCATAATGCCAGGAAAAGACCTGAAAAATTACAAGCAGCCATACCTTCTGATCAGATGGTGTTTGTTTTCAAAATGCAAATATCAGGAAATCACACTGACCACATTTCTCCAACTCTTACTTTGGCACCAGCAGAAAGTCAGTTCTTTTACAGAGTCAGTTAAAATCTTATTTTGCCTGAGCCAGGCCACTAATCACACAATTATGTAGGACTTCTACCATATAATTGTTACTTTATAGGGTGACATGGTGGTTCATACCCGGGGGGTGTTGCAGGAGTACCCTGACAAATTCAGGGGGCCTAGCACTTTATAGCAGCCCCTGAAAATTATAATTTATAATTAAAATGTTATAAATTCTCTGCAATTTATATCTACCATGGGGGAGTCTTTTTAAAAAAAGACTGAATGTGCTAGTCCACAGTCACATTTTGTCAGGGGTCCCAGAATGTCTAGCTATTGTACTTGTCAAGCAGATGGAAGATTAAGACGTGCCACTCTATTAAGTCCTGTTGTGCTTTAAAGAAGACTTCTATGACTTTAAGATGTGTGTACCATTCCACATTAATGTGTATATGTGTAAATGTAGGGGGGCCTGAAGGATTTTATCTCAAAGTACCCCCCCTCCCCAACACTCACACATACACACAGAGCAGTGAAGATGATGGGTCTATGGGCCAGATTTTAATTGGAATACAATCATCTCCACTATTTCAATTTTGTCTTTGTGCTGCTAACTTTGAATACTGATAAAATATTGGTCTGCAATACCAATATGTTAACTCTATGTTCATAAAGAAAATATCTAATACACAATGATAATAAAGAAATATGTCTCTCAAAAATCATGAGAAAATCGTGATCTTCAGTGAAGAAAAAAAAAAGATTAATTTGCACACCTCTTTTTGTGTTTCTGTTGCAGAAATAAGGATAAAAAAAGATCAACTAAATAAGTCATAATGCCAAGGGACAATGCGTACAGCTACAGGCGTCGATGTATAGGCTTATATGTACAGACTGGTCATAAAGTTGTGCGATAATGCTCTTTTTTATTTATTCTTCCTTCCCACTTCTTTTCTCAGTCTTTGATGTTGGCCTTTGAAGTTGTGTACATGTCTGTCTTCACACGCAGGAAGAAGATAGGGCCGACTGCCACCTCTGGCTGGTGAGCTGGCACGTTTCAGATGTGCATATCGCTGCCTGTCACCCGGTTGAGATCAGCAGTTGCCGATAAAAGTCATGCGTAGGCCTGTTTGCACAGGGCATCTCTCTTTCGTTTATCTTACCTCTTATCATGCACATCCTAGGCAAGAAAACTTACTTATTTGAATGTGTTATAATCACTCTGAATAAAAAGCACAAAACACCAACAAATAAAAGAACATAATATTTATCTACTTGCCTTCCTGTCAGGATCAGTCCCTGCTTGGCCAGCAGGTGTCGCTTGTCACCCCTTTCCTCGCGTTTGAGTCGTGATTATAACCCTCACTTGTGTCTTGTCACCCTAGTGTTTAATTGATTGTATTTGGCCCACACCTGTCCCTCATATCTGTGTATATATGCGCTTCCCCCTGCCCTTGTTCTTCATTTGATCATTGTGTGTATGTAGCTGTTGTTGCCCTGTGTTGCTGCTGCTGTAGCTGTTGTTGCCCTGTTTGCTTTTCTCTGCCTTAATTTTGTTTACCTACTTTGTCTATCCCAGAAACAATGAGCATAAGACGGAGAGTCACCAAGGACGGGGTGCCAACCCATGGCAGGGCACGCATACGCACGCACACACACACACACACGCGCACACACACACACACACACACGAACACCTATTAACAATCTGCCACCTCTAGTTCACCTTAGTATGCTTTTGGACTGTGTGGGGAAACTGTGAAACTCAGATGAAATTCCATGATGATACAGTAATGAAAAGAAAAAGAGTTTTTTTCACTGGTGGAGATGGAGTGGAGTGCCATTTTCCACAAAGCTTCATTACATCATACATGCATCATATTCCGTGGTAGAGAGGAACCCTGTCTCCTGACGTCAGGGACCAAGCCTTTCCCATACAGTTACGATTTGGCACGCAGAGCATTTTCGCTTCATTGACTGCTGGCTCTTAACTCCGTTTGGTTTTTACATTGCAGCACAATGGAAAGGTGCCATCCAGCTAAGACTCTTTTTCAGATACATTACATAGATATTTTAATGTTTATTTTCACAGTAAATACTTTGCAGTATGGATACCATAAATAACAACAATTCATACATTGATTTCATTTCATTTTGTGCGCCACCCATTCTTCATCTTGAGTTTTTCTCACACACGTTAACATCAGTAACATACAGTTAAGTGGTATTACCGAGATACTACTTAGCTATATACCTCAACCAAGTAACCACCTCATACATCAAAATAAGAATTTGGTCTGACGGAAATAAGATTTTGGATGTTATCTATCTTTATTTCCTGTTATCAATGTTAAGGCTTTAGTCTTGGGTCTTAAAGCCCTAGAATATCATTCACCGCTATTAAGTCCAGCTCTTGTTGGTAGGCTTTTGGGGGGTATATCTGCTCTGGCTTCCTTCTTATTAACCATCCAGTATTTCTAGGACATCCTAATTGATCCTTCACATACTTATGATTAATTCTAAAACCATAACTCATAAAACACTGAACCACAGCCCACAAAGATTCAATCTTGAGTTGACTGTTTGTTTTTGTTTGTTTTTTGTTTTGCCCGTGAACCTGTTTGATGCTGTTTTAGACTATTTATATTGTATAATTTTGTTTTAATTGTATCATTTTCCTTTTTATTCTACATTTTAACATTTTATATAAGCATAGGTAATCAAAAACAGGTGCAACCATCACTAGAGAGAACACTTCAAGTTTCTTGGCTATGGAGCACCACCTACTCCATGGAGATATAACCTGAGGAAAGTGATTGAACAGCTGACAACAAATTGTGAAGCATTCATTGCCAGTGGGATTTGCTTAGAGTATAACTGTAGGTTGTAAGAAGCATCATTGTATAAAATAGAATAAATAAACCTAACTTATTTTGTCTCATCGCTAATAATACTTGAGCAGTAATCTTTGTTTTATCTGGTATTGTGGCATCCCAGGGGTTGGGTTCACCTTTGAGAATACAAGACTATGAAATGCCTCCACAGTCCTTGGAATATCACCCACAGATTCCCTCCACACACGAGTTTCATCTTGAGCTGTAAGACAGCAGAGTCATTTCCCATTTTTGGTGAGGCGAGCAAGCTTCCCCTTCTCACTCGGTCTGCCAGTGGGTGACACTCCGCTTTTCACAGCTACACTTCTCTGCGTACATAGCAGAACTTTACTGCTCTTCAACTTGTTTCAAGTAAGAACATTCCTACAGTACTGTTCTAACAATAAAATATACTTACTGTTTATCTAACTTTAGCATACGGACATCTATGCCGGCATGAGTGTATGTGCACTTTTGCCTACCTAGATTGCATGGATAAACCAGGAAATAACTTTTCCCAGTAGACTTAAAGAGAAAACCCTTCAAAAAAAAATACTCTCTTTCAGCATTGATTCACTTAACCAGGAAAAAAAATTGTCCTCATTTGCCCAGCTCTGGGTGTAGACACTTCCTCATTCTGACAGATTGCAGTTTGTATTTAAGTCTGACAGAAACCAAAAGAAGAAACTTGGCCCAGTGGTTTTGATCACTGCTCATGACATAGTCAAGAATCTTGTTCTGTGGTCATTCCGCTCGGCACCTGTCACCCAGTCGAGGCTGACTGGGTTTTATGATCTTGTCCATGAGAAAGTGGAAAAAATCAGGCTGCTTCTCCTGTTCCTCCAGTGGGCTCACGGTCCCATCCGATGGCCTGGTAGGCGAGTGACCTCGTGTGTATCGGCACCTCCTGCTGCTCCAGCTTGTCCTGCAGGTCCTGCGCGCAACCGGACAGGTCCATGTTCTGCAGCACGTTATAAACATCTGACAGCTGCACCCCGGCCCTACGGCTCCAAAGCCGCAACATCTGGTACTGCTGCTCCAGGTAGGACGGTCCTGCCTCCAGCTCAGCACGCTCCATCTGCCCATCAGGAACACGCAACAGCCGCAGGAACTCCTTCCAACGGCGCACGGGCACTTTTTCAATGATGGCATACAGCACCCATGCTGGCCAATCGCTCCTTACAGATTCCTCCCTTAGATCTGCAGAACAAAAAATAACAAACACGTTTGCTCATTGTCAAGTAATATTTAATTAGCTGGTTTCAAGCCCCTAGAGGTATTATTAGTAGTTGCATTCATGTTGATCATCTTGTTGAATGATATTCATTTGCTAGTATTCAGGTGACGTATACCTGGCTGCAAGAACTAATCAAGTAAACCAAGGCTGTGGGGTTGGGATCTCCCATTTGATTAGTGATTATATACGGTATTCTTTTCTGCATCCATCATGGAAACAATGAGATTTAATTTAATGAATGATGATAACATGGACCTAACCTGTAAATATTGATACTCTAGAAAAATACAGGGATCTTCCACTTTGCTAAGCTGGATTTTAACATAAAAATAAACAGATAAATCTTGTCATTTTTATTACTGACTGTTATGTATAAAAATGCCATAGATGTTCCCCATGCATAAATAATTGATAGGCAGCTTGCCAGAAATACTCAATTTTCAGACTGTTTTGTTGCACGTTCACATATCTTATGATCCTTATCATGTTTGCTTCTGTTAGCTACCCATGATTGACGAGTCCTGAAGCTGGTTAAGCGAACAAGCCAACAATGCAGCCCTTATCAGAAAGATTCTGCATATGATGCTTCCGGAATGGCAAGTTCACACGAGCAGACAGCACTCAATGTGAAATGCAAGAGTGATACATTCTGGACGGGCGCTTCACTCACGCCAACTGATACAGCTTAGTATTTAACCACCTTAGGTGACAAAAAAGGCTACATCCATTCTCTTAACCATACATTACCTAGTCGTCCATGCTGTGTAATAATAGTTATTACCATCACAGAGAAACAGTGAAGGATGACTAGTTAAACTAGTAGAAAGATGTTGAGAATCATGAAATTAACAATTACATTTTCCTGCTTTTCATTTTTGATCATGTTTGCGAATGCTGGAATAGGGTTTGCCGACCCAGGCCTCAGAGACACCCAGACAGTCCACATTATTGTCTCCTCTCAGCTCCCAGCCAATCAGAAACATGAAATGGTATGGGTGTGTTGGGAGCTGAGAGAGAACAAAAAAGTAGACTGTCTGTGGGTTCCTGTTTAGGACTACTACTGGTTTGGGAAACACTGGTGTAGCATTGCAGTCTGATGGAATGGGATTTTATGTATTACAGTTTGTATGTCCCCTCTGCGTTTCCCCGGGGTCCTCAAGTTTCCATGCACAATTAAAAAGCAGCTGGGTGGGTCAATTGATGTCGCCATTAATTGCCATTAAAGCATATGTGCCGCCTGTAATAGTATTCCCTGCTTTGTGTCTTGTTCTTCCGAGGATAGACTCCACTTTGGCTGCAACCTTCAGAATAAATAGTTATGTAAATAAGATTAATGCAAGAATTTGAATATGGAGAATGACATGATTGTAAACAATACATTTCCTGGGCTGTATTACCATAGTAATAATGTATTTTATTATCATGTAACTTGGATCGTCACCTGGTACAGAACTGATATAAACATGTACATTTTTATCTTGACTATAGAACCTGTGGAAGATCCGCCATACAGTCCAGATGTTGTTATTCTAATGCCGTTTCCCAATCCAGTCCTCGGGGACCCGGAGACACTCCATGGGAGCAAAAACAAGGCCTATCTGGGAGGGAGCAAAAACAAGGCCTATCTGGGAGGGAGCAAAAACAAGGCCTATCTGGGAGGGAGCAAAAACAAGGCCTATCTGGGAGGGAGCAAAAACGTGGCCTGTCTGTGGGTCCCCGAGGACCGGGTTGGGAAACACTGCTCTAATTTGTTTCTTGATGTAATATCTATTGTGCCTGCTTCTTGTATTTAAGCTCGAATGGCCGTGTGCCAATATCACAGCAAGGCTGACACGGACACCACATTAAAGAGGAGCATTCATAAATAGTCCTGCAAACTACAATCCATTCAAACTGTGCATAAACTGCGAGGCAGGCAGCGAAAGAAGTGTATAGTCTTTAACGGCACCTTGAAGTTCATGTTGGTCAAGAGGTCTGGCTCGATGGACTTTCGCAGCATCGCTAGACCCCTGCAATAAAACACAAGGTAGTTTTTCAGCATTTTGTACCAGAAGGCACTAACAGATACACTAACAGAGTGCTTTTGTTAAAACAGCATCATTTCTGAAGCTTCTTTGATGTCAGTACTGATAAGGATGTGGTGTTTCCTGGGTAAAAGGCTGTTTCAAGAGTTCCACTGAATTCACATTATACACACAGGTGGTAATATGCCTAAACTGGAAGTCTACTTATTAGGCTTCCCCGAAGTGTGCGTGAAATAACAGCATGTATCTGTCCAAAACAGTTTCTTATCAGTTTATACATTTGTAATTTAAATGTGTGTTTCTATTAAATACTTCTGTAAACAAGAAATTACACATTATATTGTTTGCATTTAAAACTGTTGGAAAGGTACCTCAGCAAAACACAGAAATGAATTTGCTAAGTACTCAATAATATAATCTGTTGCCACCAGCCATGAGAGTATGATATTGAAGAGATGTGCAACACATAATGACATTTGTGATAAGACCAACAACTTTTCTTTACAAATCAAAAGTCAGTTGAAGATTTCATCATATTTCAGTTTAAACTTCTTTTGGATGTTTACTCAATCGGCATGGTTGATGAGAGCACTAGTGAATAATGGATAAAAATGCCGTGTAGCCTAATTTGATGTGACAACATGGTGTCATAACTAGAAGAACACAGCCTTACCAAGGGGATCTGGACAAGTGGATCTGGACTTTCAAACAGCTGATCTGTTCAAACAAAAACACAATCAGATATTCACATGATGGTTATGCCTGATGCTTTTATCCAAAGTGATGTGTAATTGAAAAAGCAGGGTTAGACAGTCCCTGGATCATCCTCGCTCAAGGGCCCGATGATGAAATCAATCTAACAGCCAACAGATTTGAACCAACAACCTTCCACTCACAAGCAGAGACCCCTACAAGGTAGGGCCATGCAACATTCCCATTAGATGTATTTTATGTATTTTAAAATATGAAATTTTAATGATTAACCCTGCATTATTAATTTGGGTAATTTAACTGGCATTCGGCCATATTTACTGAAATGCAGTTTGTTTTCGCATAGACACCTACTTGGAGAGGCATAATTTGGTATCTCTTGAGGTAGTTGCACGGTTGTGTAAAGGAGTTTGGACTTCAGGAAGTGCTGCCTGCTGGACTCCCTTCCCAGCTGGGTGCGGCAGCACAGGGTCAGGGCCAACGTGGCCCCCAGCAGAAGAAACGCCGTTGTCATGATGAGGAGGACGTAACTGGCCAGCCCAAGATGATCTGCGTTTTTTGTAGTATGATCTGCTGGTGGTTTTTTCGAAAGAAAATTATTTTTTAAGTAAGGTTAGATTTTTTTCAGGTCTAATTAATTTGGTTTCAAATGTACTCAGGTGCTATTGTTGGTATAAATACCTGTCGACTTATTTGTGGTATAAGCAGCTTTAGTAGTAGGAACAGTGGGCGTTGGTCTTGGGAGGGGAAGACATGAGAAAAGAAGGCATTACTTACAGACTGACAGTGCAGAGAGAATGGCTTGTCATGCAACATTCAACTTCCTGAGGTACAAGTGGGCGGTGTATTAAATGTTAAATGATTCACTGATGGGTGTCTCTGCAGAAATTTATTTGCTTTGCTCCCTTTAAAGTGATTCAAGATAGCCTTTTTAAAATTATGAAGCCCAAAGGTTACTGATTAATTTCAGATTTCTTTTTAATCACCTCTGAAGGGTAGCGGAGTACAGTGAGTTTCTTACAGACTCCTCCGTGAGGTATAGTCCAGTCTTAGAGAAGGATAATCAGTGTGTAAGGAGACTGCTTTGACCTACGTACATAGCTGATGCAGTTCAGGTTCACAAGCAACCTTTGAGTTACAAGTCAGTGCCTACAGTACTGGCACTGGGCGAATACAGACGCTCCTCTACTTACGAATGAGATACGTTCCGAATGGCCGTTTGTAACTTGAAATGTCCGTACGTCGTTATTCAACATCATTTTAAGGGTATACGCAAGTACTAAGGACTAGGATACTGGGAGTACATACGCTACGATGCTGGCGCGGCGGGAGTAGTGGCCGGAAGTCATACTGGGTGGAATTGGTGCGCAGAAAAAAAATTGATGTTGCGGACAGGAAATGGGAGCCCAATGAACACAATTTGGACTTACAGTCCTCTTCGTTCGTATGTCTGAAAGTTCGTAAGTAGAGGAACGTCTGTACTCATTTGTGCACAAAGTTCTAACGACTCTTTGGTTGGTATTTTGATTTTATATTTACCCCAGTACCTGTCTGATTGACAGAATATGACAATAAAATATTAGCAGGTTTGCATTATTATTATTTTTTACTTGATAGTAAGAGTGTTGCCTTGGTATTTGGTTCACTTACTTGTGTATCCATTCACCTGAGGAAAGGGGGAAAAAAGGAAAAATGAATTACAATTAGTTGGGAAAAAATATGATTAGACTCAAAACTTCCATGCAAGATAATGAAACCTCAAATTTTGTAATGCAGGAATGAAGCGAGAAATTCTAATTAAGGTATACAGCCATAACCGGCACATGGGGCACATAACGTGGCTGCCAGTCTGGGAAAACAGGAAAATGTACTTATTCTTTCCATAAGGATCTATACAATACATATACATCACTCAGCGTCAGAAATGCTGACACCTGCCAGTCACACTGTCCCCTTACATTCAAATATTTCTTCAGTGTGGTTTATTCGTTGGTACCCTTCTTTGCAGTCGCATTTGGTGTCGGACGTGCTGGTGCAATTGCTCTTCACGACTCGTGACCCTGAGGACAGAAAGCAGAACAGCCCTCAAGCACTCATTCTGTTCCTTCTAACTGCCTCCTAAAACCAACTCTGAACATCCTCTGACTGATTCCTGGCTCAGACTGACAGACAGTCGTAGAGACACAACCATGCATTTATTAGCTCCCACTTTTATCCAAAGTGACATGCAGTTCAGTGTGCATGGTCAGCTGGTCCCTGGAGCAACTGGGACTAAGGGTCTTGCTCAAGGGCCCAACAGTGACATCCCTCTGCCAGTCATAGGATTTGAACTGGTGGGCAAAGAGTCCCAACCACAGAGCCACACATCACCTATCCTGACCCACAACTCTACCAATGACTACTGGGGTACCAGTAATTATCCAGTCTGCTCATGACAACCATGTCCAGTTAACAGTACATGACCACTTGCAATCTGTTTACCTTTCTCATCACAAGGGGTACACAGGATACAGGATGATAATTGATTTTCAATTATAGTGTAGGTGCCATGTGTGCAAGGGGAACAGTGCGATCGTTGTTCTGTACAGAGCTCTTGCACCTTGCTATTTTTGTAAAAACCTGCAAGGGCAAGAGAGAACAGGAACCACATCATTACATACTCAACATTCATGGTCATCTTTACCAGTTACTATTCAAAATTCAATTGGTCCTTTATAATGTTGTAATAAAGAATATCATTGTGCCGTGTTTTGTTCAAAGAACTTACCATAAGGTTTCAGAAAACTGTATTTGTATACTGACTGCAATATTAAATCCGTAATAAATATTAAACTCTTTGGCCAATGATTGGTCAATGGCAGGTATTCAAAATTAATAAGTAGGCTTCTAAGTGGTGCTATAGTATACGCTAGTTTAATTGCCAGCATCTTTATGCAGAATCATTTTTTAAGTTCAAGTTGGAGGGAGGCTTGGCTCACCAGGAGGACACTTAAATTCACATTCAGTGGGGTTCCGCTTGGTTCTCTTGAGTTCTGTCCCTCCAACCTCTTCATGCACAGCGAGTCTGCCCACCCTGTTCAAAGGGTGATACTTCATGCTTGCAGGGGTGCTGTCCGTAGGAACCAAAGAGGCCAGGGACAGGGGCACAACCTGTGAGACAGGAGGAAGACTAAGAGACAGCATCCATGCCTGAGGAAGCAACTTAACAAAAACTCACACAGCATTAGTTCCCTAAAACTAAACTTTAGTTCCCCAAAGCCCAGGTGACCAGGAGTCAGTTCATGTGCACTCCACTGGATTCTTTCAAAGCAACACAGGCCTTTTCAACTTAAGCTCTGGTGACAATCAGAAGGCTCCAAGTAGGACCAGGACCCCAGTCATGTACCCCGAGCTAGAAAATTAAGTTTCTTCAAAAATATATTCAGCTGCATAAATGGTAAAAGCTGTAGGACACAGAAAAACGCATTCATTGGGATAGTGTGACAAATAGTTACCCACAATCAGTGGTGGAGGAAGTACTGAAGCTTAGTACTTAAGTAAAAGTACAAGTATCCCGCAAAATATGTACTCAAGTAAAAGTAGAAGTGCTACATCAACAATCTTACTTAAGTGAAAGTACTAAGTACTTACTTTTAAATTTACTTTAAAGTATTTTTTTAAGTAAAAGTACTCACACAATGGTTTGTCTCAACGTCTGGGGTGTGCCATTTTGTAAAAGAATAGTAGATATACTGACTGACGTCTTTACCGATGTAATAATTATAATAATTACAAGCAACTATACAGTACTGTATATGTGTATTGGAAAGTTTGGT